ATTGCCTTTATTATGTTTAAGTATGTTCCTTGTATTTCTCATCTCTCCAAGATTTTTATCATGAACAGGTGTTGGATTTTGTCAAAGGCCTTTTCAGCATCTAATGAAATGATCATGTCATTTTTTTTCTTTCAGTTTGTTTATATGATGTATTACATTGACAGACTTTCCTATGTTTAACCAACCTTGCATCTCTGGGATGACGCCTACTTGATCATGGTGGATAATTGTTTTGATGTGTTCTTGGAGTCTGTTTGTCAATATTTTATTGAGTATTTTTCATTGATGTTCATGAGGGAGATTGGTTTATAATTCTCTTTCAAATGTATTTGCTTATGTTATATTACACATATTCTTTATTATAATAATAAATATTCCATAATTTGATGTCTAGACAGTCATGTTTTGTTCATGACTCACATAGTTCTTTTTAGGATGTTCAGGTGGGCATTTGATTTCATTTTAGCTGTGTAACTCATGGACATGCAGTCATCTAGCATCTCAGCTGGGATTCACTAACATGTCTGTTATTTGAACTTGCTAGTGATGTGTTAGTCCAGCCTTCTTCACAAGGTAGAAGAAGAGTTTTCAGGAACTAGAGAGGTTGATGCTTACTAATGTCCCATTTGTCAAAGATTATTATGCTAAGGTCCAATTGAAAATTAATTTAGGAGGTACCTATGAGATGCAATATCTGATCAACTACAAAAGTTAAGAACAAAACTTTTATGGACTGCATGGTGGTGGTACATGCCTTTAATCCCTGCACTAAAAAAGCAGAGACATGTAGCTCTCTATGGTTTCAAGTCCAGCATGGTCTACAAAGCAAGTTCCAGTGCAGACAAGGCTACATAGGGAAACCCTGTCTTGAAAATCCAAAATAAAAAAATAAAAAAACATTAATTATGAAAGGATCTTATTGGTTATGTGTGATACTGTTAATCAAAACTGAACATAACATCACTCACAAAGACATTATTTTTGCCAGGTGGTGGTGGTGTATGTCTTTAATCATAGCACTCAAGAGGCAGAGGTAGGTGAACCTCTGTGAGTTCAAGGCCAGCCTGATCTACAGAGTAAGTTCCAGGACAGCCATGAGTTAGTTATCTAGGAAAATCTTGTCTCAGAAAACCAAAAAAAGATTTTTTGCCCTGGCCAGCAGGGCTTCAATGGGAACTTGACCACCCTAAGGACGGAATAATAGGGACAGGAGACACAAAGGAATATACCAAGACAAGATTCTGATCAAGGTGCAACTTAATTTTTCTCCAGGAGGGTTTATATAGTTCCTGCATGGTGGGGGGAGCAGGAAGCTGTTATCTGCATAGGGTGGGGCAAGCTAACAGGTTGTTTGTGTAGGATATTTATGCAGGATGTTGGAAGAGTGAAAAGGTCAAGGGCTCTGACTCAATGTCCTGTCGCTAGGCAACCTGACCATAAGATATTCTAGTTCCCTGTCTTATTGGGGGGTCTGTATTTTTCCATTAACTAGAGATTCTGTCCTTGTCCCTGACAGTTTTTTTTTGGCTTTAGGCACTCTTTGAATTCATTGAAAACATACTCCGAAAGAACTGAACAAGATACTGCTGTTGGTTGTTTTTTACTCTTTTTGAGGGTCCATCACCCAGCTCCCAAATAAATTTATACACAGAGGCTTATTCTTAATTATGAATTCCTAGCTTTCACTGGAATTCATTTCTTGCCAGCTGTCCTTAACTTAACTTATCCCATCTACCTTTTGCTTCTGTGCTTTCCCCATTCTCTTACTTCCGTATCTTATTCTTACTCCATGGCTTGCTATGTGTGTAGCTGGGTGGCTGGCCCTTATGTCCTCCCCTTCTCTTGCTCCTACCTCTCAGCTACCTTCTCCAAGTTTTCTCCTTCTATATATACTCTCTGTCTGCCAGCTCCACCTATCCTTTCTCCTGCCTTGCAATTGGCCAGATTTCTATTACCCCAAGAGTTGTTTTACACAGGCACAGTAACACAGCTTCACAGAGTTAAACAAATGCAACATAAACAAAAGTAACACACCTTAAAATTATTTTCTACTACATTTCCCCCTTTTTCTCTAAATAAAAACAAAGGTTTTAACTTTAACATAGTATAACTACATACAACAAAAACAGTTACCAAGTAAGAATTAATTTACAATATTCAGCCCATTTGTAGTTAGCATATTCAAAGGAAATAATGCATTATTTATTCTATCTTAATGAATCCAAAGTTTTATACCTAATTTATTATCTACTGTAACTAAGAACAACTGCAACTATGACTATTTAGTCTTCAACTCCATCAAAGACCCAGAAGGATGTAATATTATCTAACAACTGCCTGGACAGTCACCCAAAGTTCTTGTGCAATGTTAGGGTATTCATCTTCAGCATACAGGCCTAGAGTATCTGGCAGACTTTTATATGAAGCAGGAATTTTGAACTGTCCTGTCTTGTTTTAGCATAGTTCATCAGTCACTTTCCTCTGTGTCCCACAGAATATCTGGCAGACTCTTCTGTGAAGTAGGAATTTTGAAGGACTGCTCTGCCTTGTTTTGGCAAATTTCAAAAGTCTTCTTCCTGTGTGTCCTGCATGTCCAGTCTGTTCAGCACACTGTCAGCAGTCAAAGGCAAAAACAGTTTCTTTGCCCAGTGGCTAACCTTGTCACAATGAAAGCAAATTCCATAAAGAGTTTCTGGTAAATTAGTGCTATCAGGAGCAGGTGTGTCTCATTGTCATAAAAAACTTTAACAAAACATTTTAAATGCCATATTCTGTAGGTCTTTGAAAGGTTTTAAGACCATCTATATAGTCAGGCAGTGGTGGTGCATGCCTTTAATCCCAGCACCTGAGAGGCAGAGGCAGGTAGATCTCTGTGAGTTTTTAGGCCAGCCTGGGCTACAGAGTGAGTTCTAGGAAAGGCACCAAAGCTACACAGAGAAACCCTGTCTTGAAAAACCAAGAGAGAGAGAGAGAGAGAGAGAGAGAGAGAGAGAGAGAGAGAGATCATCTATAAAAAGTATACCTATTTTTTTTCTGAGCAAACTGTATCAGTGCTGTGGGATGTTCTGTATGTCCTGTGGGA